AGCCCCTTGAGCCTGTTACACAAGGACAGGAGGAGGCCATTCAGCCCTTCGAGCCTGTTACACAAGGACAGGAGGAGGCCATTCAGCCCCTTGAGCCTGTTACACAAGGACAGGAGGAGGCCATTCAGCCCCTCAGCCTGTGAATTTAACTCTTTTAGTCCCAGTATGATTCTTCTGAACCAGCTGCAGGCTGATAGCTTGCTCCTGCGGAGCTGGGGCCTGTGATGAAGGCAGTGAATTGACCAACTCCATTTAAATGTGGATTTCTTGTTGTTCAGCCTGTGCGGGGAGTGAAGAAAGTTCACACTTTTGCAAAGAGAGAACAAGCAATAAAACGTGATCCCAACTCAACGACAGTGATCCGAGGCTGGCTCTACAAACAGGTACGGGGTGGGGAGATCAGATGGGGAAATGGACGAGGAGCTGAGGGTAGGGGTCTCTGGAGAGGGAGGTCAGGGTAGGGAGAGGGGAGGAGGGAGGTGATGGTGGGTGGGAGGGAAAGGTGAGGGTGGGATGGGGGAGGAGGGAGGTTGAGAGAGCAAAGGGCAGTGAGGGTAGGAGGGATAGGAGGGTGGGGAGGGGGGAGGTTTTGTCTTCTGCAGCAATGACACCAAGAAACACTCAGACACAGTTCAGAATGAGAGATTCCACCCCCTCCTCCTCCCCAACCGCTGGCTCAATCAGAAAGTATGCAGCAAGGCCCAAAGAACCAAAACGTACAGCATTCCACTGAGAGTCAGCCCCTTCAGGGGCTGTATCCCAGTGAGAGTCAGCACCTTCAGGAACTGTATCCCAGTGAGAGTCAGCACCTTCAGGGACTGTATCCCAGTGAGAGTCAGCACCTTCAGGAACTGTGTCCCAGTGAGAGTCAGCACCTTCAGGGACTGTATCCCAGTGAGAGTCAACACCTACAGGGACTGCATCCCAGTGGGAGTGAGCACCTTCAGGAACTGTATCCCAGTGAGAGTCAGCACCTTCAGGAACTGTATCCCAGTGAGAGTCAGCCCCTTCAGGAACTGTATCCCAGTGAGAGTCAGCAACATCAGGAACTGTATCCCAGTGAGTGAGCACCGTTAGGGACTGTATCCCACTGAGAGTCAGCCCCTTCAGGAACTGTATCCCAGTGAGAGTCAGCCCC